AGAGGTTATATATGTATTGTGTGTGCATATATGCACATGTATATAACATGTATAGATAGATAGTGTATATAGTGTGTGTGTGTGAGTGTGTATATATAGTTATAAATATATGGAGTGTGTGTATGTATGTATATATATATATAGTATGTGTATAGATAGATGGGAGAGAGAGAGAGAGAGAGAGAATATAGAGAGTGTGTGTATATATTTTATATATATATATATGGTATGTGTGTAGGTAGATATATAGTATATTTAGAGAGAGTGTGTGAGTATGTATATATAGTTATGTCTATAATGTGTGTGTATACATATATACTTCTCCCTCTTCCATGTCCAAGCCTGCTTTCCTTATAATATGCTAGGATATAATAGGATAATATAAGATAGATATATAACATACGTATATATAGTATGTGTGCATATATAGTGTGTGTGTGGATACGTATACATATAGTATGTGTATAGATAGAGATAGATGGTATAGTGCATGTGCATATATATATTATATAGTGTGTGTGTGTGCGCGTGTGCACAGAATGTGCATAGATAGAGTTTCTCCTTCTCGCAAAGACCTCTGCTCTGGTGTCACCACAAACAACTATTCCCAGAATTCCATAGCATTGAGCCATGGCAGTTAAAGTAGTGTCAAACCGGATTATTTCTGCAGTGCGGATGTAGCCAAAGACTGCATCCCCTAAGTAACCCTAAGGAGCTCTCCTCTCCTAGCCCTGTGAGATGGGATGCATCTACATTGTAGAAATAATGCAGTTTGACACTGCTTTAACTGTCCAGTTAAAAGCGAAGTCAACCTGGATTATTTCTGCAGTGCGGATGCAGCCAAGGGCATGTCAAACTGCATTGTTTCTATAGTCTAGATGCACCAATTGTGTATGCTTAATAATAATTAACTAGGGTCCAAAGCACACTGCAGAAATGATCCAGTTTGAGACCGCTTTAACTGCCCTGGCTCAGTGTTAGGGGATCCTGGGAATTGTAGTTGTGGCACCAGAGCTCTCTCACAGAGAAAGGTCAATGTCTCACAAAACTACGGATCCCAGGGTTCCCTAGCATTGAGCCAGGGCAGTTAAAGCGGTCTCAAACTGGATCATTTCTGCAGTGTGCTTTGGTCCTAGAAATTAGTCCTAGAGGACATTTCCTCCCTTGGCCACTAGTTGGCGCTTAAACCACATCCTTCAAGGCTGCTGCTGCTGCAGCTGCTGCTGGATCCTAAAGAGGCTTTGCTTTGCTACTAGATCAGCCCCTGGGGCATTCAAAGCAAAACCTCACTGGCAGTGGAGCTTTGCAGAACCCACAGCCAGTTTACCTCCCACAAAGTACAGAGTGAAAAAAAGCATCAGGCTGGCATCCTTGCCTACAAAACCCCTCCTTCTCTCCATGCTTGCATCCCCTTCCAAAGTTGCAGAGAAGATGACTTTGTCTGAAATTTCCAAATCAGAGTTAGTGGAGCACAGGGCTGAATTTTAAGTCAGGAGGGCCCCAGTTAGCTCCCAGGATTCCTCACTATTGACAATGCTGGATAGGGCTGATGGAAGTAGCAATCTATATCTGTCTATCTATCTATCTATCTATCTATCTATCTATCTATCTATCTATCTATCTATCTATCTATCTCTATATACATATACATACACACACACACACACACACACACACACACACACACACACACACATATATATATATATAAGGAAAGCCTCACTTATTGGGTAGCATGTGGCTTTCCCAAGATTTTTTGGGGTTGCAACTTTATGCTGGATTGGATTGCAATTTATGCTAGTGCAAAGCATATGTATGTAGATAATAATAACAACAATAACAATAACGATAATAATAATGCTAGTGTAAAGGTTGTGCTGTATGCCCCTTCAAGTCACCTGGCAAAATATGGAGAACCCATGAAATTCACAGGGCTTTCTTAGGCAAGAAGGACCCTTATGAGGCCTTTCTTTTGCCAGCTCCTTCCTCTGAAATATAGCATACAGCAAGCACCTGGCATTTGTTGGTGGCCTACCATCCAAGTCCTAACCAGGGCTGACCTTGCTTAGCTTCCAAGTTCAGACAGGATCTGGTGTCTTTAGGCTATTTAGGATGAACTAATAAGTATAAATTGCTTTCATCACTCCAAATCAGGATCCTATGATCCTATGATCTGGCAGCCTCCAGATGGTTTGGATTTTGGACCATCACCCACATGCAACAAAACTGGTTGGGGAATGATGGGAGTTGCAGTCCAAGATAAGGGAGGGTCCCAGAGTAGGATGTCTGTTTTAAAATGCTGTAGAAATGCTGATTAGAAATTCTGTAAATTCTATAATTAGTATACTTTTTCAATGCTGGAGTCTCCTACCCTTCAATTATTTACAGGGATTAAAAATGGCAGATTTCCCACTTAACTTTTTCTCCCAATCTTTTAATCTGCACAGTTAGGACTCCCAGGATTTCTGCAAAATGGTCAGTTGGAGTTTACCAGAAGAAGATGTAAGGAACTGGCATTCAAGTTTGGAAAACATACACCGAACGGAAAGCAACTCCCACCGATTCCAACAGGCCACAATAATCCTAAAATAATCTGGAGTGTGGCTAAAAAGCAATCCAGAAAAATAGGAGCAAAGAAGGGAGATCTCATCTTTCCCCGCAGGCTCCTGCTTCTTGTTTAAGGCTGCAAACCTAAACAGATTTGTAGGTTTCTTATAGTGGAGTACAAACCCAAACACACTGGACAGACTGAACTGGAAAATGAA